ACTGGAGAATGCAGAATCTAGCACCTTCCCCGAAGAATCTGGCAATTTCGAAGAGCAACATGGCTCGGAGAGCACGGCGGTACAAAACCCAATTGGAGACCTGCCGGAAGTTCGCTTTGCTGTAAGTACAAAGCTGTTTGGCTATCTTGCAGCATCTCACCTGGCATGGTATCATGCAGGCTGTTGCGGAGGCTCTTCAGCACATGGTTGAAGGCCGGCAACTTCGCCAACGAGCCCAAGTGGATGATGACGAGTCTCTGGCATCTGAATCTGACTCTGAGGCAGGTGTGGATGTTAGTCTGGAGGCAGCAAATGAGGAGCCGGTGGTGTATGAGATGGAAGAGAGAGACGAGGATGGGCTGTTCGCATATCAGAGGCTTAGCGAGACTTATGTAAGGGAGCTGGTTGAGTTTGGTGAGTGCGCTTCCTGGGCCTGTCATGTCTCGCATCAGATCATGCCTGACCTAGCATCAGCAGACGAGCTCAGTCCACAAGATATGGACATACTACTGTCGTACGCATATCGAGTCAGGACTCAGCTGACCAAAGAAGACTTCGAAATGCTACCGTTTGCGTACCGTGCGATACCTCAGCTGAGTGGCAACGCCACTGACTCCCGTGCTGCATTTCTATCTGGACTTGACCCCATCCTCTATCATTGTTGTCCCAAGTCCTGTGTCTGCTACGTTGGGCCATATGCTGAGCTGCAAAGCTGTCCGACCTGTGGTACTTCGCGATACAATGCACGTGAACGGCCTCGCAAGATCTTCACTTATATTCCCTTGACCCCGCGTCTTGTCGGTCTTCATCGAAACCCCGAGATAGCCAAGAAATTGCAATACCGTAGCGACTACAACATCTCGGCAGCTCGCCACACTGTCCCTGAACCACACTGCGAGCACATACGAAAGCAGACAGGAAATGGGCTCCCGAACAAGTGTTACTGTCCCAGTGAGGTGAATGACGTATTTGATGGCTCTCACTACCGCTCGCTCCGGGAAACACCTGTCTCCGTCGACGGCTGCGAGCAGCCATACAATCACTTCTCTGACCGACGCGACATTGCACTCGGTTTTTCTACAGACGGTTTTGCACCATTCAAACGTCGCTCTCAAACCTGCTGGCCTTTGCTGCTATACAACTACAACCTGCCTCCGGAGGAACGCTTTCACAAGGAGAACCTGATCTGCATGGGAGTAATTCCCGGCCCAAGCAAACCTGGCGACTTCGACTCATTTCTCTGGCCATTAGCAGAGGAGTTGCTTCAGCTTGCACTCGGCACGCCAGCGTACGATGTCCTTTCCAGCAGCCTTTTCGCATTGCATGCCTACATCATCCTTGGTGGCGGTGATATTCCTGCTATCTCCATGGTTATGCGGATGAAGGGCCACAACGCCATCAGTCCCTGTCGTATGTGCAAGATCCTCGGAGTTCAGATACCTGGCAGCTCCAATAAGATCCACTACATCCCTCTCGACCGCTCCCGACATCCCTCCGTGCTTGACAATCCCTTGGCCACGACTATGTATGACCCACTCAGCCTGCCGCTACGGACCCATGAGGAATTCCTGCGACAAGGAGAAGAAGTTGAGGCATGCACAACGAACACAGCGCGCGACCGCCTGTCTAGGGCGTACGGAATCAAGGGTGTACCACTGCTGAGCTGTCTGAGTTCCCTCGCATTTCCGGTATCATTTCCCTTTGATCTCATGCATGTTGTGTTCGAGAACGTCATCCAAAACTTGGTTGAGCTTTGGACAGGTGATCACAAGGGCCTCGACGAAGGAAGTGAGGAATACGAGCTTGATGAAAATGTATGGAAGGCTGTCGGACAAGCTACGGCGGCTGCATGCAATACAATCCCATCTGCCTACAGTGCACGTCTCGGTAACATTGCAGAGCCAGCCGAGCGTAACCAGTACACCGCTGACATGTGGTCTTTTTGGATGACGTATATTGGCCCGTCTCTCTTGGCCCGAAAATTCAAGCACCGCAAGTACTACGATCATTTCGTCGAGCTCGTCCGCCTTCTCACGTTATGCATGCGCTTCACTCTATCGGCAGAAGATATCGACGGTATACGAGTAGGTTTTGGAGACTGGGTCACAAAGTTTGAGCAGTACGTCGCTGGTAGTAACACTTCGTGATGTCGAACTGATATTTTGGGTGTATAGGTACTACTACCAGTACGATCTAGCTCGGCTTGCGGTCTGTGTGCTGACGCTGCACGCACTGCTACACTTTGCGGATAGCATTGAGGCCGTGGGGCCACTTTGGGCATATTGGGCATTTCCTATGGAACGCTTCTGTGGCGTTGTGCAGCGTCACATCAAAAGCCGACGCTTTCCGTTTGCGAGTATTGACACATTCATCGTTGGTGTCGCTCGGTTATCGCACCTCGGAGTGCGGTTCAACATTGTTCAGGAGCTAGCCCTGAAGAAGCCTCCAGGAGCTCCAGTACAAGGGCAACACATCATTCCAGCCTGTAAGTTCCTGGTCCATGCTACGAAGTGTGGAGCTAACAGCTACCGCACAGACCCAGATTGCATTCTCCTTCGCCCGCATAAGCCGCGTGGCATCACTAAGGATGCAGCTCTCCTTCGACGTATTGCCGTCCATCTCAACACTCGCTATGGTGTAGGAATGGCGATCGCTCGCAAGTATGCAGTGCCAGCCAACATCGAGCTTTACGGCAAGCTGCGACATGTCAATGGCGACACCATGTCGGCGTCAGATCTTGCACCTGTGCCGGAAGACCGCCGTGATGCAACATGGGTACGGGTATGTGCTATTTCATGTAGTCCTTCCATGGTCAGTCTCTAATCATGGCTTGTCGAGTAGTTTGATGCCTTGGTAGACCGCAGCGCGAGGCGCCAAAATGCACGAGAAGAGCTGGTTCTCACGACATTTTATGGCGAGTTGAAGAACATTATTGTCCTTCATCTCCCTGCCACACGAGAGCTGCGTCTCGATACTCCAACCGTGCATGTTCTAGTTGACATACACAGCTGCAATGCGAACATTGATGGCCCACTTGATGTTCGCATGTTCGAGAGCATGCAGAGCATACTCGTGCATGACATCACAACGGTCCAGTGCCTTGTCGGCCGCATCAAGCTTGTAACAGTCGGACACCCTATATGGGCAGTCATTGACCGCAGTGGATACTTAGGCGGAGCAGTCTATGCAGGCAATGAGGACGGGTGATGAGAGCAGCTAGGGATCTCAGGAGTTGGGGTGTACAAAGAGTATTAATGGATGTTGTCGATATTGGGCTTTATAAGACCTGCAACTACCATACAACAGAGTGAGCCATGCTCTCAGTGAACGAAACATGGCCAGCTTTGGAGACCGCGGGCAAAGGAGGCGCTGATCTTGTGACCGTGTCGAGACACATGCACTATTGGCCTCATTGAGCTCTGTTCATGTTTTAGTCTTTTGCTTTCATCCACAGGACACAGGAAATTACGCACCACAACATGTCCGAACCTCGTCAAGTTACCGTGCGTATGCCCGGCACGCCCGCGCCCATTCTCGTGCACTTGCGGATCCCGTACAATGGACCGCGTGTCAATCCCTTGGTGGTTGTCCTACCACGCGTCGAATGTGACACAGTCAGATTCCAATGCATGTAGAGCTTGCATTGCACCTACTTATATTGTAGGGCCACAGTTCTGAGCCTGCACCCAGACGATGATCGCTCGACAGCCTCAACCCCACTGATTGATGCCGCCAAATCCCTTGCTACACCTTTGCGTCCCACACCCGAAGGTAATCTACCAGGCAACGAAGAGATTTATCAGCATACTGTTGATTTGCGTGACCAAGAAGATGCAGACGAGCCTCGGTCAAAGCAGCGTCGCTGCGAGGGTGCATCTGAGGGCGCCCGGGTTCCATCCAAAGACCCGCCAACATCAAGTTCAGTTCGTGCTGAGGTTGTGCGAGGCCGAAGTCCATCTGTTCCTGAAACAGTCGATTGCGAGAAAGAGAGGTATGGTGACGAGGGTGGAAGTGAGGCAAGCTCTGTGACAGTCCCTGAGCCTGAGCTGAAAGACTCGGTAAGTTACTCACATTGCATCACTCATATCAACATCTGCTTATAAAGCTTGCAGACCCAAGAAGTATATGCGCGGGCCAGTTCATGGAGGAGGACAATGCGGCAGGAGAATGAGGAAGAGGCAAAGGCAAACAAGAAGCGCCGCAGTGGCGGAAGTGCGGGAAAGGTTTGATGGCTCAGTACGGTCCCCGGTACCAGAGCAATGATTGAATGTCTCGCAGGACAAGTCGAGCTCGTAACGGCAGAGCTGCCTGTGTGGGAGCTGTCGACCGCAGAGGGTACGGGCGGGGCAATTTATGCAGGCGACATGAGTGAAAAATCAGGGACAGCGGTTTTCAGCAGGATCATGTATATTTTAGGCAGTTAGACCAAATATGGACGGCTGCGCAAAAATAACCTGGACCTCGGGATTACCCACTTCTAGCCTGGTTTCCGGGCGAATTTGTTAAAATCGCTCGTTGACCCAGGGAATTTTACGGGTTCCGGACTCCGTAGTGCATC